AAAAATATTTAAATTAAATATAACATATTAAGTCTAACACAAAATGTATATTTGATTTAAATATTAATATATGTTCAATTGACAAAATAGATTTAGTTGAAAGGTTTAGTGAAGTTAACCAATTTTTTTTTTCAGTGTACATATACATATATACCTATATATTTTTATATATATTGTGAAGGAAAAACCTTTTTTTTTTTTTGGATTTAACCTTTCGCTTCTATTAATATCATTCTTTGTCGCTGATGAGCGACAATAATTTCTTCGGCAAGTAGCTTATTTATCGCGACTGCTCCTGTGTATATATTTATATTGACATTTTGTCAAAATAATTCTTTCGAATACATAAGATCGTGACATTGAGTTTCTTATTGGCTTCTCAAAGGAGCGGTGGAACAAACATATGCAAATAATCGTACGTAGGTGCAAATTTTCTTTCTTCGCCAAACGCGCCAATACCTGCTGCATATGTCACTTCCATAAAGATATTTGCTCGCTCCCGCAATATGTCGTGCAGTATATGATGTGAAACTCTCGCGTCTAGACTTTTCTCGGATCTGACATTGGTTGCATATTGAAATTTAACCATCTCGAAATCACACACACATATATATATATATATGTATATATATAAGACACGACGAACGAAAGTGTATTTTGTTTGTTAATAAACTGGTAAATGGAACATATTTTCCTTCCTTGGATTATAAACTCGGCATATTCGAGCGAACCATCGCTTGGAATTAGTTTCAGCCGACTTGCGGAGCTTCCGACCACAAAGTTTAATTTGATTGTTTGATGAGGAAATAGTTACATATAACTTTCAACTTATTTCTTAAAAATCATGAAAGCGAAATAGATTGACAAATTAACTAGTTTAATTTTTTCCGTTTGTTTTTTCCCTGAAATCAAATAATTGCTTTAATTTCGCTTTATAAAGATTGCATATACGTATACGGGAGGCAAACAAAAAACATGATTAACTGCGTTAATTTATTGTGCGTTTGAGCATAAACAGAAGTGGATAATAATGAAGCAAGAAAACAACAAACACGTATATGCGTGAGATGATATTGCACGTCAAATCATTGCACGTTGTTACATTGCTTTATTATCGTTTATGCTTGAATGTATGTCAGATCAAGCTACTGTCCGTAAGTCTTTCCGGCGCCAGTGTGCAACCGGCCAAAGAGAGATGAAAGCTTGTATTTTACACGAAACCCCGAGGTTAAATCCCGCGGTGAGTAACATTGCATGTAGTGTATCGACATATCGTATATACGCGATGCTTGTTGGCCTTTGCTTTTGCCACACTCACAGAGATTACATTGGTATTATGAAAGCACAACATCGATGAAAGTACGCGTATTAATTAGAATACGCCAATCGGATGTGTGAAACGCAAGTGTAACAAGACTATACACCGTGAGACAAACAAAAGATACACAAAGTTGTATATAGATAAATAAATCAACCTTTATGAAAATAAATGCGGGTAAAATTAATTCTCGTTCGAAGAATTTATAAATACGTGTCTTTGTATGTGTGAGATAAATTTAAACTCTTTCCGATATTTCAATATTTCGAAAATTCATAAAATTTTACAAGAAATTTCTAATCTTTCGACCTTAAATATTTCGTGGGTAAAAAAATTAATCATTAAATTTTTAAATTCTTAATTTAAGAGTTTAGCATACCATATAAGCTTTATATACCTAATTATACATGTACAGTTTATATTATATATTCAAAATATGAGTAGAAATACATTTAAGTTAGTGAAATTATTCGGATATTTTTTAATTTTTTCCGATGTTGTATGCGAGCAATAATACATTTCTTTTATGAGTATATGCAAGAAATAATAAGAAATGTCATTTATGATTAAATGTAGAATAAAATAAAATAAAATATATCTTTCTGACATTAATGAAAATTTATATTTTTATCCGATGTCTTGTCCGATGTGATTTGCATTCTACCATGTAGATCCTCAATTTATTTTTATGCTATCACACAGAGGATAAGAAAAAGAAAATTCGTGACTATAAGATATTCATGAAATCGCGCGAGGTTCTAAATCATAATGAAATGTGTCACTTGTATCTTCTTATTTATATAATTATTTCGCAAAAATGTAGTACAAACATGTTCCTGGGAATTGGATTGTCATGTTCAAAAGGGAAATGGGGAATGAGTTATCGTATATATATGATTTCCTGGTGCTTTTCTATAATTTCTTCAAGTAATTAGTAGAATTTATTTGATATGCGATAACACATTAGAGAAAAGTAGTTCGAACTTTAAGAGAATAAGAGAGATTCGGACTTCCGGAATTTCATATAACATGAAATATTTGCAAAGTTTCGACATTTGTGAGCAAATGTTTGTTCCTAACTTAATATTCGAACGGAGTACAAATAAATCATATTATGTCACATTTGAATCATATAACAGAGAAGATTTGTCGCATTCTATCTGAAAATTTTTTCGAATCTTTGATATTAATAATTTCGCGATATGCTCCGTAATTAAAAGATGATCTTTTCGCAATTGTTGGGTTATAAAAGCAAAAAGAAATTAGCAATGATAAATTGTTGTACTATATCTTTTTCTTATTTTTCTAGTTTATTTTTTAGTCTTTGCATAAGAGAAAATGAGAGAATTGCTCTTACGCGATTTCTATTAAGATAAATTTAAAAATAAATATATTAATCTGTTAAATTATATTTAAATTATTAAATTATATTTGTGCTCTTTCATTTTAGTGATAATTTTGAAATCCAATGTTTGAAATTGCTTTTATATAAAAGTGATATAATATAATAAAAATGTGATAATAGTGATATATGATAAAATATTGCATTGTAAAAAAAATATTCTAAAGTACAATTTGATAGATAATAAGTGATTAAAGTAAAATATGAATATATTATTTTTAATAAAAAATAAAAATCTACTACACTTTCTATCACTCAATATCTCGTAACGGTTTCATAGCGACGTATATAATGATGTAAAACGCAGTTTAACTGTGATGACGATGCAAACACTAGTGACGTAAAATAAATATTTAATATTCGTGAAATGTATAATTTGATCCGAACAACTTTTTGCCTCAATTTTATATTTTACGCATGAGATAATATAATATCAATTATGCAACATATGATCTTTTTATTTCTTCACTCCCTGAAATAATCTAAAAAATATACTTTTTTGTTTTATATATATATATATTTTTTTAATAAACTAATTTTTAATAATTAATTCAAAAATTAAATTAAAAACAAAATAATTTTTAATTCATAGTAAAATAAAATTTTAAGAATCGTTTATCTGTTATATTCTCTCTTATATTCAACTTTTAAATATATTTTTCTTTTGAATGATATATCTCGAATGGAGAGATCTCGTTTAATAAAAAACTTCCTTACACAAATTATAGAACTGTCATTTTTCGCACCCTTTTGCTTCTAGAGTCTAGAGGATAAGAACTTTTATGGACGAAGCATATACTGCGTTTTACTGTAAATGTCGAATATGCGGTGGCGTGTTTTCCTATTGATAATACACCTGTAAACGAGATGTCTCGCAATCATAGATAAATTCGTGGAATTTACAGCGTACGTTTAAAGTCGAAAATCCGTGTAAGTTTTCTTGAAATTGGATTGTCCTTCTGTTTTGGAATCGCGTGAACTCAATTTTAGTCAACGCAGAGAGCTTTCCGACACTATAACTCTGTGTCGTTGGCTCACGACTTAATAAAAGAAATAATATTCTATTAAGGTTATAACTTTAATATTATTTTTTGTCAAGTGTACAGTAGAATTCTTTATGATATACTTTTAATAGAGATGTGATAATGTGGTGCGTAATAGAAGTTAATAATTTTGCACTTGAAATAAATTAGCAATTATTGAAGCTTTTAGTTAGAAATGATACTTTGAAGCGCTACAAGAGAATTATATAACATATAAATGATCGATCAAATATATATTCACAATTCCATTAAAATCCATTATTGCTAACATTAAGCTATATACAAACTGATTTCAATTGAGAATGAATTGACTAACATATACACATATATAAATACATATATGCACGATGAAAGGAATATAGTTGTCTTTTAGAATTTAATTCTTACACGTTCGTGATTATCACAGTAAAAATGATTAAATATTTATATGTATGCAATCACATCGGACTTCACTAATTAAATTTCAAATTTATGTAACAAATGACATATTCTTATGTGTGGCATATTTTATCAAAATATGAAGAAAAAAAGTAACGTAGTAAGTAAGTAAAAAAAGTAGTTTTCTTCATATGAAACTTTATTCCCGTAATCTTTCAATAATAGCATAATAAACGCAAAGTTTATGTTTCTAGAGAAAGAGAGAGAGAGAGAGAGAGAGAGAGAGAGAGAGAGAGAGAGAGAGAGAGAGAGAGAGAGAGAGAGAGTTTTATTTCCGTAGATATAATTGTTTCTAAATCTAATAAGGAAACAATTAAAAGAAAAGAATGCACAATAAATTAAAACATATTATTCAGTATACATATTTTGGCCTACGTATATAATAAAAACGCAAATTTTGATTAAAAATAAATAAAAGAAAATATTAATATTCACGAAAAATACAGCAAAAAATTTAAATATTCAATAAAGTTTTAAACATTCTTAATATATTTTAATATTATATTTGGACTTGATTTTGATATTTATGTAAAAATATTGCGAAAAGCTGAATAAAGATGAGCAATAATAATATGATCGCTAAAAATACAAATAGCGTGAACAAGGATATTAATTATTTTATAAAACAATTGCAAATAAATATTATGTCTGCAATTGATATATTAGTATTGATTAATATACATACAAATAAAAATTAACTTTCATAATAATAAAATTTCATGTTTAGGACTCTTCTTATAAAACACAATTGCAACTAAGTATTACATTTACGATTAATATCAATATGCATAATATTTACCTAACATGACGTAACATGTATTGAAGAATTTCGTGCCCAGTATAACGCTGAGCAGTCCCAAAATGCCCTGCGGTAATTCTGTGACGAGGAACAACAGGAGCACCGCCAGCAGCATCCTCGTAGTCCTGTCAGTTTGTCTCTCTTTATCGGTGCCTTTTCTCTTCTTCTTGGGTTTCTGGCAGGTGTGCTCCTTACCGTTGCCCATTTTGATAGCGGTATTTTTTGTAGTAAGTTGCTTCCGTCTCCGCTTCGCTTCCAGCAATACCTTTACCAATTTAATACTCAACACTGTCAATGCGACGCACGGTATCAGCTTAATTACCACGCTGTAAATCCAGAAGTTAATGTCTTTGAGAACGTTGCTTATCGGCGTCTCGGTGAGTTTGACAAAGTACAGGGTAGTGTTGGTCACCACGTCTGTATCATTCAGCTTTGTCAGATTTATGCTCATCCCTCGCTCGTCCAACAACTCAATCCCAGATCTCACCTCGGTGTTGATGTAAAGCGGTATGCAGAGTATTGGGCAGCATATATAGGCAGAAGCAATCACCAGAAAGGTGCGCTTGTCGCTACACCACTCACGATTATGTTGTGGATGCGCCACCGCGATGTATCTCCAGACCGCCAGGATCACCGTCAAGAAAATTGAGATCGTGTGACACACTTGGCCGAAGTGCGAGTGAAATAGTACGAAGATACCCCAGCTGTAGGTGAAGGTGTCCCTGCGGGATCGCTTGTAGAGGTACATGTGGATCGCGTACGGGATGTATTCGATCATCACAAAGAGATCGGCCACAGCGAGTCCGGTAAGGATCATGTTGGTGGGCGATTGCATCTCGCGACGCGTGAGCACAGCAATGTTGAGAACGTTGGCAATGGAGCCGAATATGCACACGAACAGACTGGCCCAGCCGTGCACCTGTACATACCAGTTGTAGAAGGATTCAAATCCGGCGTTGCAGTATTCCGTTTCCGCCGAGACCGTCGGCGTGAAATTCAGGGTGGAATTCATCCCTGAGAAATTGGAATTCATTCCGAGATGAGGTAGTCTTGAGGGGGCGTGCAAAGCTCTTTATAATGTTATGCGCGAGGAGATCAATGAACTTTTCTCTCTTCCCGGAGCCTCCGAGCTCTGCTCTTTTTCGGCTAGGTCATTACTGTGACAACTTCTTCCGTTGGATCTTTGTGTAAAACGTCGCACAGATTGTTATTATTGCGGATGGAGGACGATTTTTTTTTTTTTTTGAAAAAAATGATTAAGAATGATGATCACTATTATGCAATTATATCAAGGATTGATTATTGTGTTGCGACGCGCGGTTGATTTGGCTTATATTTCATTAGGAAAAATGATCTTATTAATGAAGATAATTATTAGATTAAAGCCAATTATATATTAATAGTCTATGATGATCGTTCTTCATTTAGCAATATTAGTTTTCACGTATATGTTAGAAATTCATAAACGGAAGTATTGGCACGCTTGATTGCGAACGGGAAGACGTTTTTGTCATTTCGATGCCTCTCTTCAGCAACCTGATCGGAATAATCGAATCTCGGTTTAGTATCTATTCATAAAAATATACCACATTATCAATCCCTTTTATAATTTATTACCTTCGTCCAGAAGAGAAGATTTGTTATTCACTGATTTGTGACTCCGGGGAAATGTGATAACTTTTCTGGATTTTTTTATCTGAAAATCGCACGATAACTTTCAGACGATTCTCCGTTCTCGTTCATAGGATAGGAAAGAAGATAAAGTTACCACGCGTTTGAAGTATCTTTCCCTCGATCTAACTCGAACGACCATAGTCAAGTGTGTTTCTGACGAAACTTTTACGTTGTCAAAGGGAGAGCTATAAAGCGTTGAAATATTTAACCTGCGTACTTTTTATGCGACAATCTGATGTTTCCAAAAAAGCGCAACGCACGGTTCAACTTTTTATATTTTACATTTTGAAACTTATATTTCATTATCTAACAGATACAAATATATGTCGCGCGCGTCAATTTTATTTTCATATATGACACGTTTCTACATTTTTATATTTTTTCTTACTGCTGGATAATGATCCGATTTTAATCGGAATGTCCTCGTATCTAATAAAATTCGATATCTAGCGTTAATGTCAAATAAGATTATTATTAATTAGGTGGACGGGAAAATAAAATCAATTGGTTTTTCTGCAATCAATCGCATGGGGAACCGCGGAACCGCAGCTTTTCGGACGAATCGACTTTCAGCGTCTATCGTGCGGAATAACAATGTCATGTGACACGTGCGGCCAGTGACATGTGTAGGAGGAGACGCTTCAGCTGTTAATCGTGGTTGCCGCACCTTGATGTAATGCGATTGATCCCCGAATGCCATAGAAACACTTTCCCGTGCACAACTAACTGCTCGAGCACGAAACGAGCATTATTGTCAATCCGTACGAAGAGGTGCACAAACATCCGCTTTCAGTTCTCCACTTGTTCCCTCGTCGCCGAACGGATCGAATTATATCGCTCCCACCCTAATTGATCACTTAAACGAGCTCTTGATCGCGAAAATGTCGCCGATTCAAATTACATCGGGTGGTCATTTCGAATCGACGCAATATATTATAACAATGTTTATCTTTCGCAATGTCTCAATGTTTCGGTAATAATGATATCTTCGCGTCGATTCTTACGCAATTTTCGCGCATTTTCACGAGCTCTTATCGCGAACGGCACAGCTGTTTTCGCGTCAAGTAGAAGAATCAACGCATCGCGCGACCAACGCAAACGTTGGCGTCTGTGCGCCGAATGAGAGAAGAGGCGTCGTACGATGCCTCGTAGGTTGAAATGGGGTAGCTCTTGCGCCTGCGTTGATCCAATTTTCCATTCTAGTCTCCCTCTATCTCTTTTGTGTGTTTCTGTTTCTCTTTTTCTCCATCAAAGCACTGTCCTTTTTCGCCCGTCAAAGCAATTCTTTGCATCCTTCTAAAGAAAAGGATCTGATATTCTTAGAAATGATCTAGAAATTTTGAAAATGTGATCTAAAAGGAAAAGGCTATAGTATACTGACTAGAGAATTCAACTATTTTCGTGAAAATACTTTTGTTTGTGTGGAAACATTTACATTAGATTTTTTTGTTATCGCGCGTGATTTAAGATTACATTTATATGATTCTATATGCATCCTATATTTTGCACTTTGAAATGCTAATATATAATATGCATATATTACACGCTTATTGAACATTTATCGTAAACAGTTTTGCTATGCAAACTCTTATATTTTTAATTTATTTTTGCACAATTTTTCCCATATTGAATCTCTGTTTTTTTTATTATCTTTATTTTTAACGGCGTCTTTCCCTCGCAAATAATACAGAAGAGCTCTAAAACATTTCGAATAAAGCACTTAAAAAAATTTGCCTTAACCATTTAGTTCACACTTGATAAGATTACGTAATTGCATCACGATGTTACGTTCTGCAAGTGGAGAAAAGGAAGCAGTTTAAATCTTGCGCATAGAGAAGAAGGGAATCGAGTCAACAATAGAGACCCGTTAAAGCGCACGTTAGCAGACGGAAATCCAGCCCTCGGGGTCACGTGTTTCGCGTAAAACATGCCCTCATCCTTTCTAGTTGCTACTTTTTTATCCTCTGTGCTCCACTCGTTTCGCTTTTTCAAAGCCCTGCAGGTCCGTGATTCCCGTCAAAGTGCATTTCGAGTCACCAAAGTGTCTCGTCTCTCTTTACGCCTACGCGTTCCTTCTGTCAATCTTGCACGCCTGGTGGTTATAAATTTCCGGTTTCAGCAATATCGTACCCCCGGCTTTGACGGCAATGCAATCTTTTGCATCGTCGAGAGGATTGCTTTTTCTTGCAACTGCGTTCGCCATTTATTTCAGGTTAACGGGCGATGGAATCCACGTACGCGTTTCGACGTCTTCGAATGGCGCGACGTAATTAGCAGAGATTTGTGCTAGAACGAATCGGATCAGTAGAAATGCTCGGTTGATTGGTTTATTTAATTAATTTAAGTTAATTAGTAGAGTAATTTACCCGTGGAAGTTTCAATGCTCCGAGCATATCGAGACAACAAACAAAAATACATTGCAATTGTACAGAGACGGGATTTTATAAATCTATTTAGTAATTTATTTTATAAATATACATATATATATATTTCGTATTCTTCTTACGGATTAAATGCTCTCTTCGACTATCTCACATTGATATTAAACACGATTCTTAAATTAGATGCTAGAAAATTCGAAATTCAACATCTCATTTAGCGTTAAACATGCAGATTAAATGAATAGTTAAGGAAATGTATGGTAGAGAAAAAGGGCAAAGCAAAATGGAAATTGTATTACTTTTTAAAATGATATGTGCTTTAAAAATTACAAATGTTAGAGAATGAATGTTCGTTCTTTATTACTCGTTTAAAAATAGAATATACAAAAATTATTTGTGAAATTATTTCGTTGGAGATTTCTGACGTTTAAGATAAGAGAAAAATGGATATACATATATCCTCTTATATAATCTTATCATAAAATTAAAAAAAAATAAATCTACTAGTTTTACGGTCGCATAATACATATTACATTATCGCGGTTATATTTAATGAAGAACTCAGGAGGATGAATCTTCCTTCTTATTATTCTCCGTTACGAAATGCAGGCGTTGTATAATATCTCCTAACACACGTGACAACGACAATCGTTTTGCATACGCGAAATAATTTGTATATAACAGCACCTCGACGTTAATTTCCATCATTAATATATGCCGCGGTGAGCTTTTCGTTCCTCAGAGAAACTTCAAAGACAGTTCGCATGTCAGTTCTGCGAATGTACATGAATTTCTCACGTCGGGATTTACAATGAGTGCAGCTAGCGACGCGTGGCAATGCGTGCATCGACGAATCGATTGAAAATTGTGCTCTTCGTACTTCCGTTCGAAACTTGTCGCTTCGTTAAAGTCGGTCTCGGGATTGAAACCGGTATAATTTCGATGAATTCAATTCTCTTCGTTATACGTAGATACGGTAGGGAATAAGTGCCTTAGATCGCGTTTCCATAGTAATCTCTAAAGGGCGATGGAGACTAAAGTGGATATAGGGCAGTAATCGTATAAATTGCTCGTTTAGATAAAAAATATAATATGAGAGAAAAAAGGGCAAAAAGAGGCAATAATTTCGCTAATTATACGTAGAATTTTTATCGGAATTTTCGTAGCGTTTTTTATTTCTTATATTGGATCATTATGGAATTATATTTTGGAATTAAAGATTTTGCAAATTTTCAGGTACCACTAAGTTCTTTTCGATTTCAACAATTTACTTTTATTTAATTATTTTATAAATCTTTTTATAATACGTCTTTCTCACTTTGGAAGTGTTTGCATTCAAAATTATCTTTTTTCTTTTATATTAAAATTTAATAGTTTTGAAAAGGGTTAAAATAATTTTCTCTCATTTTCTCTCAAAAGAGAGAGAATTTAACTTCCGTCCTCTTGTAGAAATTACTTCTGTGCGTCGTTGGAGTATGTAAATGTGACTCAGTCGTTCGTGAATGTAAACTCATTGTGATTTTATTGATTTCTGAAGGTGAGGTTTTCTGGTCCTTTCTTTTTTGGTCCTTCTTTAGTTTCGCTACTATGTCATGTTCCTTCGTTTCGGCTTTTCCTTAACATTTTCTGTGGCTTCATACATATTATATATGTAACACCGGAAAGCTATTACGATGAGTTGAGTACGGAAAGCGTGTTTTACATTAGAACGAGCGAGAGAGAATGCTTCTTCCTAATGGTATCGCATTAAAAGCCTCTATACGGGCTCGTGATTCTAGTGTATACCTTATTTTTCCGATTTTTCGGAGCATTTCAGAGACAATTTTTCAAGTTCTAGAAAGTTAAAGCTTTTAAATATGTATTATATCCATCCTCTTTTTTCAGTCTCTCTTATAATGTCGCGCTTCTTTTGTCCCGCAAATGTCATGGTATTTATTCTCATGTGTGAAAGCGAGTCTTAACTAGGAACATGCTTGTCCATAAAGGAGGACACTTAACACTTGTGCGCAATAATAATTATTTAAATGTAATTAAACCGTACGCTTCCTCAAAGGAAGTTATTATGATGCATATATAGCAGACACCAGGTTGTACGATATTCAAGATGAAAATTCTTATTATTAAAGATTAATTAAATTAGGACAAAAATATTATTTGTAAGAAAATTTGCAGAATAAGCGTACAAAAATTTATTGCATAGTGTCGTCAAACAAATATGCAAGTTACAGTAATCGCGAAATTTTCATTAGCAATTAGACACATGGTGCTTCAGATAAGGTTGTATTTATGAAAAATTCTCATTATTAAATATTAATTAAATTAGGACAAAAATATTATTTGTAAGAAAATATGTAAAACAAGCGCACAAAAATTTATTGCATAGTGTCGTCGAAAAATATGCAAGTTACGGTAATCGTGAAATTTTCATTAGCAATTGGACACATGGTGCATCAGATAAGGTTGTATTATATTTATGAAAAATTCTGGAAAAATCTTATTATCTGGAAAAATTCTTATTATTAAAGATTAATTAAATTAGGACAAAAATATTATTTGTAAGAAAATATGCGAAACAAGCGTACAAAAATTTATTGCATAGTGTCGTCGAAAAAATATGCAAGTTACGGTAATTGTGAAATTTTTATTAGCAATTGGACACATGGTGCATCAGATAAGGTTGTATTTATGAAAAATTTTGGAAAAATGCAAACTGAAACATGAACGGTCGCATTGTGTTGCATGCTCTAATAAGTTTTTGTGAGAGAACGGTTGCTCCGCAAAAGAAGACTCGCAACACTTTGGATATAAAAGATACGCGATGAAGGTTTCAATCTTATAACCAATCTCAATATATGGGAATGAAAATAACACTTCGCTACTCAAATTAATAAAAAATAGAATATGTGAACAGATGTCGAAAAATACGAAATAAATATGTATCTAAAATATAAAAAATTTACGATTATCCATTTTTCACAAGGATATAATTGAATTATATATAATTAAACTATAATATTTACAAAGTAGATTAAAACATATAGATTTAAATGTGCATGTTAATTTTAGTAAGATATTATGACGTATATATGACATTAATAGGGCAACTGATATCTTGACAATATTCGCGACAATCACCGTCTCTCTTTTAGTCATGCTTTGCAGACACAATATGCTCGATTGCGCGGGACGTGTTATATGTAATATATAGCATTGTATTCAATTGCGTAGGAAGCAAGAGACGACTTTGTGAGAAGAAGCACATACCAGACGTATAAGACATATCCGTCGTTTATGAGCAACGTGTGGCAGCAATAGAATTGCACATTAATAAACGGCGGTGGATATGAATTATATCTCTCTCTAACACATCCGCGAAGTTTTGAAGGAATGTACATAGGATTCATACACCGCATAAAATGTAATTAGAAAGGATTTCGTCTTCAACGTGTGATTATATTTTTCATAAACAGAAATAATAGTACATGGTACATGGAGAGAATTTTCTCTTAAAATCTACCCTGAAAATCATAGTAATTGTGGGATAATATGGTGTTGGAAGAATTTTATAAGAGTTTCTCTGGTGAATATTTACCGCAATAAAAAATATTAAAATATGTACATGGTAAAATTAATCGAGTATATTTTATATCTTATTGTGGTAGATATTAATATTTTTATTGTGGTAAATATTAATCAGAAAAACTCTTATAAAATTTTTCCAATA